GGAGGAGGAGGAGGAGGAGGAGGAGGAGGAGGAGGAGGAGGAGGAGGCGGATGAAAGGGAGGATGTGAGGAGGAAGCGAGAGGAGGAGGAGCGGAGGAGGAGGAGAGCAGGAGGGAGGAGAAGGAGAGAGAGATGATGATGATATGAATATGATGATGATGATGATGATGATGATGATGATGATGATTAGATGAGAATGAATGATGAATGATGATGATGATGATGATGATGATGATGATGATGATGATGATGATGATGATGATGATGATGATGATGATGATGATGATGATGATGGTGGATGATGATGATGATGATGAGGAGGAGGATGCTGAGGAGGAGGCGGAGGAAGAGGAGGAGGAGTAGGAGGAAGAGGAGGAGGAGGATGAGCAGGATCGACGATCGAGTGAGGAGGAGGAGGGCGGGGGGGGAAGAAGGAGGAGGAGGAGGAGGAGGAGGAGGAGAATGCGGAGGAGGAGGAGGAGAAGGAGGCGGAGGAGGCGGAGGATGTGGAGGATGCGGAGAATGCGGATGCGGAGGAGGAGGAGGAGGAGGGGGAGGAGGAGGAGGAGGAGGAGGATGCGGAGGAGGAGCAGGAGCAGGAGGAGAAGGGAGGACGAGAAGGAGGAGCAGGAGGTGGAAGACGAGGAGGAGGAAGAGGAGGAGAAGGAGGAAGAGGAAGAAGATGGCAATGATCGTGGTTCTGACACTACTGCTGTTGCTGCTTCTGATGACGACGCTGATGGTGATGGTGACGGTGATGACGGTGTGGATGATGATGCTGCTTATGCTAATGTTGATGATGATGCTGATTGTGATGATGTTGCCGCTGCTGACGATGATAATGATGACGATGCGTCTGATGATGATGCTGAGTATGATGATGCGGATGATGGTGATAATGCTGATGCTGGTGATGATGATGAGGATGAGTATGACGTTTTTTTTATGATGCTGATGCTAATCATGCTGTTAACGTTTATGATGCTGCTGATGATGATGGTGATGCTAATGCCACTATTTTTGTTTGTCATGGTGCTGTGCTGCTGATGCTGATGATGATGGTGATGATGATACTGATGCTGTTGATGATAATGGTGGTGGTGACGCTAATGCCGATGACCCCGATTCAGAGGAGTAGACTGATGACGATGTGGACGACGGTGATCTGATGCTGATGATGATGAGGTCGATGTTGCGGCTGCTGATGATGAGTACTATTGTTCGTTCTATTTATCATTCTTTTGCTGAAGGTCATGATGATGCGGGTGCTGATGTTTATGATGATGATGATGATGATGATGATGATGATGATGATGAGGATGATGAGGATGATGATGATGATGATGATGATGATGATGATGATGATGATGATGATGCTGATGATGATGATGATGATGATGATGATGGCGATACTGATGATGGTGGCGATACTGATGTTGATGACGCACTCGAGCAGGCGAAGTGGCGTTTACCACCCAGCCGCATCACTTGGACTGCCAATGCGTGGGCGGACGCGGTTTCTAACTCCTGGCCTGAAATCGAGCAGTTGGAAGGTAGCGTGCCATTGAAGGTACTTGGTGTACATCTGCTGGCCAGCGGCAACACTACCAATGATTTCAACCAGAAACGTGCCGTCGCTATCAGTATGCTGGAGCAGCGCAGAGATCTAACGCGAAGCACAGATGGCACGCGGAAGCAACGATACCGCTTGATGCATCAAGTATTTATGTCGCAACTATGGTCTGCGCCAGTTTGGACGGTGAAGCGCACGGAACTTTCCACATTGCGGGACGGCTTGCACAATGTTTTCAAGCAGCATCTTCGCTTACCGAGGACAGTTGGGGAATCTGACGCTTCCTACGTGCTCCGTCAGAATGCTCTCACGCGAGACATCAGGGTAAGCTTACAATTGGAGTGTCCCACGGGACATATTTGCAGAATTGCCCTGTACGCGCCAACGAGATTGACATACAACATTCCCCGGGACAGAGACCGCTTCTGGTGCAGGAGCGTGAGGAGCATATTGGGTCACGCAGGGCATTTGGGTCGTTATTCGCCGTGGTGCTATGAGTTTATGTTTGACAGGTTCTTTCAGGCGTCCGGTATGGAGTGGACAGAGATCGCCGAGGACAGGGCGGCTTGGCTGGGGTGTCGCGAGGGGTGAATTCAATGCACGTTGAGAAGTGACAGGGCGAGTCGGTAGTGGGCGTTTTGTGTCTAGTGTGTAAGATTGCTATCTTGGTCTCGTGCGTTAGGCTTTGTGTACTCAGGAGCAGCCTTGCGTCACATCTGAGCACAACAACCACTGATGCTGATAAGCATATTGATGATGTTGATGATGACGATGCTGATGATTCTGATGGTGATGATGATGATGGAAATGCTGATGATGATAACGGTGATGTTGAGTAGGGTGGCAATAATGGTGGTGGCAGCGACGCTGCTGCTGATGATGATGATGGTGCTAATGCTGGTGATGATGGCGACGATGACTATGATGATGCTGATAATGTTGGTGCTGCTCATGATTATGCTGATCGTGTTGATGGTGATGATGCTGATGATGATGATTCCAATGAGGATTGAGAGGAGGAGGCAGCGGAGGAATAATGCGATGATGACGATGATGAATATTAGGAGTATTCTGACGATGAGGATGATGATGACGAGGATGAGGATGAGGATGCGGATGAGATGCTGATGACGATGATGATGATGATGATGAGAATGCGGCTGATGGTGAGGATGATTATGATTACGATGTTGTTGACCCTGATGTTGAGTAGGATGGTAGTGGTGGTGCTACTGATGATGATGATGATGATGATGCTGATGCTGCTTAAACTGCCGCTGCTGATGATGATGATGATGATGATGATGATTATTGTGGTTGTGGTGGTGATGAAGACTATGATGGTCATGCTGATCGTGGTGATGTTGGTGATGATTATGATGATGCTGATGATGATGACCAGAATAAGGTTATGGATGAGGAGGAAGCGGAGGAATGATAATACAATGATGATGATGCTGATGATGATGATGATGATGATGATGATGAGGAGGAGGAGGAGGAGGAGGGGGAGGAGGAGGAGGAAGATGATGAGGATGAGCATGTGGCAGGGGCTTGCGCGGTCCGATTCGTGAGTCGGGGTACGAATGCAAGCGCTTGCCCCCGAGAACAAAGGGCTCGTCTCGAAGAACATGCCGACCCTCTGGTTAGGCGCCGCTTCGTAGGTGCTGCTTCCCGACTTTGTTACGAGCCCCGGTCCAGTCGGTTGCCAACCAGCCCTCCTTCTCCTCTTCCTCCTCGTCCTTCTTCTCTTCCTGCTCCTCCTCCCCCTCCCCCATTCCTTCCTCCTTCCTCCTCATTCCTTCCTCTCTCGTCTTTCCTCTTTCCTCCTCCTCCTTCCTCCTCCCTTCTCCTCCTCTTCCTTCTTCTCGTCCTCGTCCCAACTTCTCCCTCCTCCTCCTCTTCCTCCTCCTCCCCTCTTCCCCCCTCTCCCTCTTCCTCCCCCCCTTCCTCCTCCTCTTCCTCCTCTTCCTCCTCCTCCTCTTCCTCCTCCTCTTCCTCCTCCTCTTCCTCCACCCGTCTTCCCCTTTCTCCTCCTCCTTCTCCTTTTTTTTTGCTTTGATCCCTTTCCTCCTCCTCCTCCTCCTCCTCCTCCTCCTCGTGCTCCTCCTCTGGTTGCCTCTTGCCTGAATTCGTGCCTGGTTCTTCTGACAGGGGCACCCTTTGGCCCAGCCAACATTTTGTGATCACCACAGCTTGCTCCAGATCGTCTGGCTGGGGCCATTTCAGAGTACACTGGTGGTAATTTGCCCTGCTCGTGGGCAGTCCGTACTCCCCTGCCGTGCGCAGGCAGTGCCAGGCAGGGGATCAATACAAGATTTAACTAACTTCTTGAAGCTCCAAGAGCCACTGTACTCGCACGACCTGCACCAGAAACTCCCAGAGAAACACATCAGACGGTAGGATCGGTGGAGGTTGGCGGGGATCCTGGGGCTGGGAGAATCGAACCATTGGGTCCCGTCCATTGCCGATGACGGTGCTGACAGGCAACTGCGGCAAGAAAAGAGTCCTTTGCTGCTGCTCTTGACCACCTGTGGTCGCTTGAGTCCACGGCATGCTGTGCAAGTGATAGAAGATGTGACTGCACCTCGGACGCGAGCACATCAATGTGGCAAACTTCTGCTATGTCTGTTGCTGGCAACTGCGCAACTCTCGCTCCCCCTTCTGCACACAGTGCAGCAAAACGATGGGCAAACCAATGGGCGACGGAAATCTGGGCCACCTCAGCTTGCTCAACGATCATTTGCGATTTACTATTCTGGGAAAACTGGGCCCATCCCAGGCCTCCTCCCATGACGCCTGCCAGAGTCGCACATTGGAGTCATGGTGTCCCCTTTGGGGCCCTTGAGGATCCCGTCCAGCACATTCTGATAGCCAAGCACTAGCAAGACTGGACCACTGATCGGCTTGATGGCCTCTGCAGCCCGTAAGACTCGGCTATGTGCGCCGACTGCTTCCAGTGATCTTCTGGTCCATATGCCCAAGCTACAGGCTCCCATCCCGCCAGGATGGCAACACCCCAGCCACACCTACGCAGACGAACGTCCTCGTGATACTTTCCTTCAGACCAGTCCGAGTCCCTCCTTCTCCTCCTCCTGCTCTTCCTCCTCCCCCCCTTTTTCTCTCCTGCCCCTTCTTCCTCCTCCTCCTCCTCCTTCTCGTCCTCCCTTCCCCCTCCTCCTCATACTCCTCCTCCTGCTCCTCCTCTTCTTCCTCCTCTTTCTCCTCCTCCTCCTCCTTCTCCTCCTCCATCTCCTCCTCCTCCTCCTCATCCTCCTCCTCCTCCATCTCCTCCTCCTCCTCCTCCTCTTTTTCCTTCGCCTCCTCCTCCTTCTCCTCCTCCTCCTTATCCTCCCTCTCCTCCCTCCTCTCCCCCATTCTCCCCTTCTGGCCGCCTCCCCCGCTGGCCGCTGCCCTGGGAGCGGAGGACCACATGCCGCTGCTGGAAGTCCGTCGCACGCGCGGGGAGCTGCACTCGGAGATTGCGAGGCGAGGCCTCCTCGGGGGATGGCGGCGGCGGCGGCGCCCGTGCCCCTGAACCAGGGATGGGCTTTTGCTCGGTCGGGGTCCACCGAAGGTGCCACTTTTTCCCAACCCTCGGTTTTCACAGAGCACTGCTCGCGCGTCTCCTTTCTCCTCCTCCTCTTCCTCCTCCTCCTCCTCCTCCTTTCTCCTCCTCCTCCTCCTCCTCCTTCTCCTCCCCCCCTCCTGCCTCCTGCCTCCGTGCTTCCCTTCCTTGTACCTTTCCTACTCGAGACCTGCGAAGTGCGCATCTGCCGCCACTTTCGTGGGCTCCCGGCAGGCACGGCGGAGTGCAGGGCAGCGCAGATCCATTTGAGACCTCGCGGCTCCCTCGGGGGCTGCGAAGAGCGCAACTGCCGCCACTTTCTTGGGCTCCTGGGAGGCACGGCGGAGTGCAGGGCAGCGCAGATCCATTCGCGGCTCCCTCGGGGGCTGCGAAGTATGCATCCGTCGCCATTTTGGCGAACTGCGTAATCCGTCGCCGCTTTCGTGGGCTCCTGGGATCCACGGCGGATTGCAGGGCAGCGCAGACGGGGCATATCTGGCGATGTGTTCTTTCGTATCGAGCGTTTACACAGACATTCGCCTGGCGTGGAGAAAGGATTGGGTACGTCTTGAGTAACTGTTGCCTTCAGTGCGCTCATTGTCGCCATCATGTTGAAGGCAACGTTTTTTTGCCTTCAGTGAGCTCTTTGCCGCCATCCCGTTGCAAGCATGCCGTCGCAGACATTTGGCTGACGAGCGCTCCGGCGGGAGCGCGAAACTTTCCTCGCACCAGGTAGCAGACGCAACTCTCCCTCCAATCATCTAAAGGCTGTGTAGCCGGCCGCTGAACCGCGAGGGACGGATGGGGGGAAGAGAGACGGAAGCGAGGGAGGGGGGAGGGATGGGGGTGGAGAGGGGGAGAGGGCGGGGAGGGGAGAGCGAGGGGAGGGAGGGGGGGAGGGGCGAGGGAGGGAAGGACTTGGGGTGTGCGAGGGAGGAGCGGGGGGGACGACGAGGGGAGGGGAGGGGATGGATGGGGGGGACTGGGGGAGGGGAGAGAGCGAAGGGGGGGAGTGGGGGGAGGGTAGGGACGGCGAGGGCGAGGAGAGGGAATTGGAGGGAGGGGCAGGCGAGATCGTCCGGGCGCTCGCCCACCACCACCACCACCTCCTCGCTCGCCGCAGCCGTCCTGTCTCGCCCGCCCCCCCCCCCTCCCCGCTGCCTGCGGGGCGGCAGCCGCCGGAGGCCCCGGGCGCGGCGCGGCCGCGCCGCGGCCGCCGTCGGGGGGCCCGGGCGCCGTCTCTGCACACTGAGGCGCGCCGATCCTGCCCAGGCCCGCCCGGGCCCAGGAGGAGGAGGAGGAGGCGGAGGAGGAGGAGGAAGAGGAGGAGGAGCAGGAGGAGGAATAATAATAACAATAACAATAATCATCGTATCATAATCATTGTAATCATAACTAACTAACTACTACACTACTACTACTACTACTACTACTACTACTACTACTACTACTACTACTACTACTACTACTACTACTACTACTACTACTACTACTACTACTACTACTACTACTACTACTACTACTACTACTACTACTACTACTAGTACTACTATACTACTACTAGTACTAGTACTAGTACTAGTACTAGTACTAAGTACTAGTACTAGTACTAGTACTAGTACTACTACTACTACTACTACTACTACTACTACTACTCTACTACTAATCCTACTACTACTACTACTACTACTACTACTACTACTACTACTACTACTACTACTACTACTACTACTACTACTACTACTACTACTACTACTACTACTACTACTACTAATAGTACTAAGAATAATAGTGATAATAATAATCATTGCTTTTGCTTTTGCTATGCTTGGCTTTGCGTTGCTTGTGCTTTGCTTTGCTGTCGCTGCTGTTGCTTTGCCTTTGCTTTGCTGCTATGCTATGCTATGCTGCGCTGTGCTATGCTGTGCTGTGCTGTGCTGCGCTATGCTATGCTATGCTATGCTGCGCTATGCTATGCTATGCTGGGCTATGCTATGATATGCTGTGCTGCGCTATGCTACGCTACGCTATGCTATGCTGTGCTCTGCTATGCTAAAGCTCAGCGAAGCTAAGATGAAGGTAAGCTAAGCTAAGATAAAATTGAGGTATAATGAAGCTAAGGTAAGGTACGATGAAATAAGCTGAGCTAAGTTGAGATAAGCAACGCGAAGCTAAGGGAACGCCACTGGGGGAACCGCGGGGCGGATGCCGGGGGAACCGCCCGGGGCGCATTCCACTGCCCGTCCCTTTAAGCCTCAGAGTAAGAACCCTTCTAGGCAGAGCCTAGGTAGGGACTACTATTACTACTACTACTACTACTACTACTACTACTACTACTACTACTACTACTACTACTACTACTACTACTACTACTACTACTACTACTACTACTACTACTACTACTACTACTACTACTACTACTACTACTACTACTACTACTACACTACTACTACTACTACTACTACTACTACTACTACTACTACTACTACTACTACTACTACTACTACTACTACTACTACTACTACTACTACTACTACTACTACTACTACTACTACTACTACTACTACTACTACTACTACTACTACTACTACTACTACTACTACTCCTACTATTCATAATTATACTCATACTAATGCTGTTACTAATAAAACCAAGACTGCGAATAAGAATAACTATCACCATAATAATATGCACACACAGACCAGCATTATTACTACTCATAATCTTACGAAGACTAAGAATAGTAGTACAACCACTAATACTAATAGTACGATTTAAACATATTAAGAACAGTGATGCGAATTCTAATAAGAATACTTTTATTAATCGTACGCATACAAAAAATCAGCATGGTGATAATGATACGAAGAATAATCGTAATAATGAAGCAGTAACAATATTACAACGAAGACGAATACTATTACGACTAATACGAAGAATACTAAAACCAATAATGAAAATCACGCAACTAATAACATCACTAATACTGGTACTACTATGACTACTACTCATACTAATACTAATACTAACACTAGTAAGAATAAACAGACTACGAGTACTACTATGATTAATAATAAGGAGGACACGAATAATACATATACGAATAAGAATCGTACTACTCAACATACTAGTGATACCAGTACTAAGGATACGAATACTATCAATACAACTAAGAATAGTACGAATAAGAAGAAGAGGAGGAGGAGGCGGAGAGGTAGGAGGAGGAGGAAGAGGAGGAGGAGGAGGAGGAGGAGGAGGAGGAGGAGGAGGAGGAGGAGGAGGAGGGGGAGGAGTGGGGAAGGATGAGAAGAAGAAGGATGAGGAGGAGGAGTAGGAGGAGGAGTCAGAGGAGGAGGGTATAGACGCCCTCCTGGCCAAGCAAGGAGGGTGTATACACCGCTCCTGAGTCAGGATGTGCCTGGCCAGGATCGGCGTACCCTAAGATCCGACCGACGTCGTGGAAGAAATGCAACGCAGTGGAAATCACGACTGGAGTCCTCGACCCCATCTTCCCGCCGCCTTTCTCGAGCTGTATCGATCTGCGACGGCCCCAGAGCCCGAGACCAGGCGAAAGTGCCCGGGTGTGAGAAGCTCGACGCCCAGTTCTCAGGGCAGGTGTACAGTCGGCGCCCTCCCGAGCCAGGATGGCGCACAGGAGGCTCCTCGGCCGGCGGGGTGCCGCCGAGGAGGAGGAGGCGATGGCGGACGCGGAGGGGACGCCGCGCAGCGGGCGGCGACATCAGTCGCCCGCGCCCAGCCCGTCGTCGGCCAGCTCGTCGTCGTCGGGGCGCCTGTGGCCGGTGCGGGCCATCAGGCCGCAGGGCGCCCGCGCTGCAAGCCCAGCACCGCCATCCTGGCCACAGGCTCAGGTCGGGCGCGTCCCCCTGCAGGGGGACTCTGGGCGAAGAAGAAAGAACAGTCAAACGATATTTCAACGATGCTCAGGAATATTCAAACAATCCTAGCCATATTTTTTTTGGCTATTCTGGAATATTCCTCCTGCAGAGGGACACGCCCGACTTAACCATAGGCCGCTCCTGGGCCCGAGGGGTGGTGCACGTCTGCCTCGCCCTGGCCGGTGCCCAGCCCAGCGCAGGGCGCGTGCACAGATCCCTAGGGGTGGGCGTGCCCCTCCACAGGACGTCTGAACACTTCAAAAGTAGTCCGGGGACGATTTTTCGATTTGTTTGTTCTTTGAACACCTTTTTAAAGTATTCTTTGAGTATCTCTTTATTTTTCGTCCAAGGCCCTCCTGTAGGAGGACATGCCCGACCCAGTCCTGGCCAATCCTTGGCCCAGGATGGGCCCGGCCCCAGGCGTCGGGCGCCTCGTTTTGGTTCCGCGGGGCCCCCTGGCTCAGGACGGGCCCTGGCACGGCACATGCACGGTCGGACCGAGGCGTAAGAGCGAGTTCGGTCCGGGGAGGGTAGCTGCCCTGGTATTCGTCGTGCCTGTTGGACGCTCTTGTGCATCCTGCGGGAGGGGTGCCCTCTCCTCCTCCTCCTCCTCCTCCTCCTCCTCCTCCTCCTCCTCCTTCTCTTCTTCCTCCTCCTCCTCCTCCTCCTCCTCCTCCTTCTCTTCTTCCTCCTCCTCCTCCTCCTCCTCCTCCTCCCCGAGTGATCTTATGGATTCCGGTGCTGTGGCCGGCAGAGGGTCACTCATGCTCCCGAAGGGTGCTCGTCTGTCCCAGGTCCGACCGCACCACGCCCTCCCGGCCAGCGGCTGGGAGGGCGTGCCCACCGCCCCGGGGCTCGGGACGGCCCTGGCCGGGCACGGCGGCAGTGTGCAGACCCTGACGTCCGACGTCTTTGACGAACGAGCAACACACACCCATACCCATAGGGGGGTCGTTGGGAGGAGGACTGGCTATGGGTATGGGTGCGGGTTGTCGGACCCTGGGGAACGCTCCCGTTCGAGCGGGGACCCCCCTCCGACAACACGCGCCCATAGCCCTCTCCGACCCCCCTATGGGTTTGGGTGTGTGTTGTTGGTTCGTCAGTCTTGGTGTTTTCCCCATGCGGGGGCCCCAGAAGTCTCGACTACTCTCCCCAGGGCCGGCTTTTCATCCCACGTGGTTTCCTGACGGTCCCGGCGCCTGGCGAGGGCCCCCATAGGCCGAAGACTGTAAACAACCTTGCGTCGTGTCTTTCTTCCAAGCGCGGATGTCTGGGGCCAAGTGCGCCGATCCACGGGGGGTCCTGGGCCGAGGATGGGCCTTGCTGGGGCCAGTCTGGGCCTGGTTGGGCCTGCCAGCAGGTGCCCCACTGAAGTTTCTCATGTCCCCCAGAGGCCCTGGGGGCCCACAGAAGCTCTGGGGCACCTCAGGACATTCAGATCTCGAAGAAGAATCTGCTCCAATATTTCTTACTCCCCGCAGCAGAGTTTCCTATCGCCCCCCCTGGCTGTTGTGTGTATACCGGCCTCTCCTTGTGCTCGCCGCTCTCTCTCGACCGCTGCCCTGCCGCCCGCCGCCTTCGGGCTCGCAGGGCTCTGGAGCACCGTGGCGCGCCTGGAGCGCCGCCCCCGGGCGCGCGCGAGAGGAAAGAGAACGCAGCCTCCTTTGCTGCGGGCCCCCTTCCCATTCACATCGCGTCCCCCGTTCTCGCGAGTGACTGCAGTGGTACGGCCGGACCCGGGTAGAAGATCGAGGCCGGTCGGGGAGGGTGCCTGAAGTGTCCTTCGTGCTTGGTGGATGTTCTTGTGCATCCTGGGGGAGGGCACCCTCGCATGCTCTTCGGTTTGGGCCATCGGGGGTCTCGTGCCCTTGAAGGATGTTGTTCTGTCCTGGGTCCGATGGCGTCCACACCCTCTCGTCAGGGAGTCCTACGGGGAGCTCGTGAGCATGGTCATCCGCCCGCCGCGCGCCGAGTACGGCCTGCAGCACCTCGGGCCGCGGTCGTTCGAGACGCGGCGGCGCCGGTGCATCCGCGAGGACGTGCGGGTGGAGAACGACAGAGGCCCGCGGAGATGTGCGCACGCGCGTACTGGTAAATCGGGCCTGCCCCCCTACAGGAGGAATACTCAAAAATAGTCAAACATGGTTCCGCCTTCGTTCTTTTGTTGTAAAAGAAACAAAAAAGTATACATGATAATATCCATTCGTGAGTGTTTTTTTTTGTTTTTTGTTTTTTTCTTTCTGGTGTTGACACTTATATTTTTCGTCTAAGTTCCGCCTGTAGGGGGACAGGCCCGACCTAAGCGTACTGACGCATATGCGACGGAAGATTCTGCGGCCCTCGCTGGGCCCCAGGGCCGTCAAGAAACGATTCGCGGCGAAGGGCCGGGCTTGGGGGAAGGGGGTCGGGACTTCTCATGGCGCCAACGTCGCAGAGCGGACTTCGTTGCGGAAAGCAATGGGATGAGCCCAGCTTGTCCTGGACAGTTTCGCTCCGGACTTCGAAGTGAAGATCGTGCGGATTTTTTCTGGCCCGGAATGAAACAACAAACGATCCATGTGAATTTCGCTTCGTTGTTCGTTCGGCGTTTCGGGACTTTGTGTTGACGGAGATCCAATCCACGTAAAGATCCGCTGCAGCACGTCTGCAAGGTCGGCGCAGTGAGACCTCTCGGGGTCCAGAACTGCGGATGGCAGGGTCTGTGCTCCACCCCCATGCCCGGCCACGGCCACACTGGGCCCTGGGTGGTGCGCGGACCCTCCCAGCCTTTGGCCGGGAGGGCGTGATACATGCACCGTGCGTGGGTGTGTGTGTGTGTGTGTGTCCGTGCTGTTGGGCGCTCGCTGGTACTGGTGCCTCGAGTGGTCACTTCTGGGACAGTCTTCGGCTCCTTCTCCTCATTGGCTGTGTTCCTCGGTACGCCGCTTTGGCCCCTGCTGTGCCTCTACTTCGCCCACGTGGACGGCCTCCATGTTTCGCTGGTCCTGGGAGACTCGTTCGGCTTGTTCGACTGTCCTGCCCCCGCCCCCGCTGCCGCTTGGGTATGCGCACGACACGGTTGATCCTGACGGGCCCCTGCCCCAGCTGAGGGGCCGGCCGCGTGTGCCCGTTGTGGCTTCGGATCGTCCGCCTTTCTCCGCCTGGACGTTGCGCGCGAGGCCGAGATCGCCAATATATATATATATATATATTTATATATATATGTGTTTGTGTGTGTGTGTGTGTGTGCGTGCGTGTGTGTCTGTGTGCGTGCGTGCGTGCATGCGTGCGTGAGGGCGGCCCCAGGCAGCACGATGCGCCCCCCCCCCTCCCCGCCACGCGCTGGCAACAGCTCCATCCCTGCCCCCGACGGCGCCAGCCATCGGAGCCAGGCCACCGCCCAGCTCCGCCGCTGCCCAGATCCGACCCCGCTCGGAGGGACACTTAGGGGGTCAGCGGGTGCCCCGCCGCCCAAGCATCGCGCCACAGCCGGCCAGACGACGTGGGCCGTCCCGTCCACGGCCTCCGACGCCTCTTTGTCCCAAGTGACAGCTATGCTGGACGTTGGCTCCCCCTTCATCATCGATTTCGTCAACACGACCTGTCACGTGCGGGCCAGCCAGGATGCGACCACCGCGCCCCTCCCAACTGCTGGCCAGCGCCCTCCCGGCCCCCACGCCTTTCCTTCTTCTCAGCTCGGCCTCTTCATCCGCTCCCTCCCTGCGGAAGTTCTCATTGCCGCGGCTCCCGCCGCGCCACGCTCCGCCCCCGCCCTTCCAGGCGTGGGTTCTGGCGCGGCCCCTCTGAAGCGCCCCGCCCCCCGCGAGCGCTCCAGCCGGGGCGGCCAGGCGTTGAGCGCCCCAGGAGTTTGCGCCCTCCGTCCTTGCTTCCTTCCCACCGCGCTGGCGGTCTTCATCTCTCCATGTGTCGCTGCCGCCTGGCGGGAAGTCCGCCCGTGCAGTCGACTCTTCCCTCCCTGCATGCCACGCCTGATTGGCCATGTGCCTCCCCGCTGGCTGCGCCCTACGCCCCCGCGTGGAATGTCCCGCGCTGGGCAGCGCTCTACCTCTACGCCATCCCTGCCCAGACGGCTATGTGCCTCCAGCTGCTATCGTGATAAGAGCGGCAATCCAAGGCCCAGCCTTGCGCTTTGCCCGCTGCTTTCGAGTTACTCCGCCTCGCCGCCGCGCGCGAGGCCGCGACCGCCAAAACAAGTGTGTGTGTGTGTGTGTGTGTGTGTAAATGTGTGTGTGTGTGTGTGTGTGTGTGTGTGTGTGTGTGTGTGTGTGCGTGCGTGCGTGCGTGCGTGCGTGCGTGCGTGCGTGCGTGCGTGCGTGTGTGTGTGTGTGTGTGTGTGTGGGTGCGCGTGTGGATGCTTTCGGTGCGAGAGGCCTCATGCTGGAGTGCAGCTGGTGGCAGCCGTCGGACGACTCCTCGTCCAGCGGGCAGCAGCGGCCTTGCGTCGTGTACATGCACGGCAACTCGTCCTGCCGCGTGGAGGCGATGGAGCACCTGCCGATGCTCATGGAGATGGGCGCGACGCTCTTCGCCTTCGACTTTGCGGGCTGCGGCCTGTCGGAGGGCGACCTGATCACCCTGGGCTGGAACGAGAAGGACGACGTGCGCTGCGTCGTCGACTTCCTTCGGGGGACCGGGCGGGTCTCCACCGTGGCCCTGTGGGGGCGCTCCATGGGGGCGGCCACGGCCCTGCTCTACGGGCACTTCGACCCGTCGATCGCCGCGATGATTCTGGACAGCTCTCTCTGTCTCTGTCTGCCTGTCTCTCCCTTTCTCTCTCTGTCTCTGTGTGAGGAGGAGGAGTGATGATGATGACGACGAGGATTATGCTGATGCTGATAATGATGGTAATGATGATGAGGAGGACGAGGATGAGGACGATGATCAGGATTCCGATGATTATGATGATGCTGCTGATGATGATGGTGCTGATGATGATGATGATTATGAGGATGCTTATGCTGGTGATGCTGCTGATGATGCTGATCAGGATGATAATGACGATGAGGATGATGATGCTGATGATGATGAGGATGATGATGCTGATGCTGATGCTGCTGGTGGTGATGACGACGACGACGATGCTGATGACGCTGATGATGATTCTGGTGATAATGGTAATGGTGATGGTGATGGGTGATGGTGATGGTGATGGGTAATGGGTGATGGTGAAGGTGATGCTGATAATGTTGTCGATGGTGATGCTGATAGTGATGGTGCTGGGTGCCCAGTGATGGTGATGGGTGAGGTTGATGATCCTATCGTTGATGCTGATAATGACGAGGGAGCGGGGGGGATGAGGACGTGCATGCGAGGAAGACGGGGGCAGGGAAAGAGGCATGAGGGAGGGAGGGATGAAAGGGAGGGAGGGAGGAGGGAGGGGACGGAGGAGGAGGCGGAGGAGGAGGAGGAGGAGGAGGAGGATCAGGAGATGAGGAGTGAGGAGGTGGAGGAGGAGGAGGAGGGGGAGGATTGTGGGAGGAGGAAGAGGAGAAGGATGAGGATGAGGAAGAGGAGGAGGAGGAGGAGAAGGAGGGGGAGGAGGAGGAGGAGAGCGAGGAGGAGGAGAAGGACGAGGATGAGGAGAAGGCATGCATGAGTTCAGTAGGATGACGATGATGATGATGATGAGGAGGAGGAGGAGGAGGCGGATGCGGAGCATACTGAGAAGCAGGTGGAGAAGGATGACGATGCCCATGGCAAAGACGATGACGATGACGATGGCGAGGACGATGATGTCGCCGACGACGATACTGATGAACATGAGTATGACGCTAATAAAAATGCTAGCGTTAATGATGATACTGATGATGATGCTGCTGATGATGATGCCGATGATGATGCCGATAATGATAATGATGATGCTGCTGATGCTGCTGATGATGATGACGATGCTCACGAGGCCGATGATGGTGATGTTGATATTGATGCTAATGCTTCTGCTGCTGACGATGATGCTGCTGCTGATGATGCTGATGATTATGATGACGATGATGCTGCTGCTGATGGTGATGCTGATGATGATGCTGATGATGATGATGATGGTGATGATGATGATGATGATGATGAGTATGCTGCTGATGCGGATGCTGCTGATCAGGAGGACGGCGACGTCTGTGTCGCTGTCGGCGTTGATGTTGATGATGAGGTCGTTGACCATGGCTAACCAATTGCGGAGGGTGACGCCGATGCCGATGCCAATGACGATGATGATGATGACGATGATGATGATGCTGATGATGATGATGATTATGATGATGATGATGATGACGATGATGATGCTGCTGACGATGATGATGCTGCTGACGATGCTGCTGATAAGGATGTTGCTGATGCTGATGATGATGACGATGCTGCTGATGATGCAGCTGATGATGCTGCAGCTGCTGCTGCTGCTGCTGATGATGATGATGATGATGATGATGATGATGGTGATGAGGATGATGCTGCTGCTGATGATGATGATGCTGATGATGCTGATGATGGCGCTGCTGATGATGATGGCGCTGATGATGGTGATGATGCTGCGGCTGATGATGATGACGCTGATGCTGATACTGATGATGATGCTGCTGCTGATGAAGCTGACGATGATGATGCTGATGCTGATGCTAATGAGGATGATGATGATGCTGATGATGCTGATGATGAGGATGGTGATGCTTACGATGCTGGTGACGCTGGTGCTGGTGATGATGTTGTTGATGATGTTGTTGTCGATGATGATGATGATGGTGATGCTGATGATGATGCTGACGATGATGCTGTTGATGCTGCTGCTGATGGTGCTGATGATGCTGCTGATTATGGTGGTGATGATGCTGATGATGCTGATTATGATGATGATGTTGCTGCTGCTGATGGTGCTGATGATGCTGCTGATTATGCTGCTGCTGATGATGGTGATGATGCTGATGATGATGACGATGATGATGATGCTGATGATGATGATGATGATGCTGATGATGATGATGCTGATGATGATGATGATGCTGATGATGAGGAGGAGGAGGCAGAGGCGGAGGAGGAATTCAAGGAGCAGGATGAGAAGGAGGAGGAGGCGGAGGAGAAGGAAGAGGAGGAGGAGGCGTTGGAGGAGAAGGAGGAGGATGAGGAGAAGGATGCGCAGCAGGAAGATGAGAGAAGGATGATGGAGGAGGGATGCAGGAGGACAACAAGAAGAAGGCGGAGAAGGATGCGGAGAAGATGAAGATGCGAGGAAGCTGAAGATAAGGATGATGAGGACGATGAATATGATGATGACGAGGATGATGACGATGCTGATTATGATGATGCCGATGCTGATGATGATGCCGATGCTGATGCTGATGATGATGATGACGATGACGATGCTGCTACCGTGGATGCTGATGCCGATGCTGATTGGTGATGATGATGGTGCTGATGATGATGCTGCTGCTGATGATGAGGGTGATGCTGATGCGGTGGAGGAGGGGGAGGAGGAGCAAGAGGAACAGGATGACGAGCAGGAGGAGGAGGAGGAGGAGGAGGGGGGGAGGAGGAGGAGGAGGAGCAGGCGGAGGAGGAGGAGGAGGAGGAGCAGGAGGAGGAGCAGGAGAAGACGAAGAAGACGAAGAAATCGAACCAGAAGAATGATAATAACAATAAGGAGACGAAGTCGAAGAAGACGAAGGATACTGAGACGAATAAGAAGACGACTACGACGACGAAGGGTAATAGTACTAAGACGAATAAGCATGATGATAATAAGAAGAAGCGGAAGACTAATACTAATACTGAGAAGACAAACAAACGAAGGAGACGAATACTAATAATAATAATGCTAAGAAGGGTCATACACTAAGAATGGGACTAACAAGAAATTTAATAGGCATAAGAAGAAGACTAAGCACACTAATCGTACTAGTAATACGATCAATCAGGATACTACTACGAATGATTGTAATAACCATACTAATAGTATTACTAACGCTAATGGTAATACGACTAATACTCATGATGCTACTGCGAATAGTACTAGATACTACTACTAGTACTCATAGTAATACGAATACTTTTACTGATACTATTACTAATGCGAACACTAATACTAATACTAGGACTAACAATACTAATACCACTACGAATACTAACACTACTACTACTATTAATACTACTAATAATATTAATACTAATGCTAATATCAATACTAATAATAATACTAACACTACTACTAATACCAATGCTAAGCCTACTACACATTACTACTACTAGCACTACCACTAATACTAATATTAGCACGAAAATAATAATCACACGGATTTTATATATATATATACTAATATCACTTATACTAGTAGTAATAGCAATAACACTGATACTACTAATCTAGTAGTACTGATACTACTAACAACACTAAGGATAATATACGAGGAGGAGGATGAGGAACGATGAAGGAGGAAGGCGGAAGGAAAAGAAGGAAGGAGGAAGGAGGAAGGAGGTAGGAGGAAGGAGGAAGGAAGGAGGAAGGAGGAAGGAGGAAGGAGGAAGGAGGGAGGAGGAACGAGAAAGGAGGAATGAGGAAGGAGGAAGGAGGAAGGGGGAAGGAGGAAGGAGGGAGGAGGAATGAGGAAGGAGGAAGGAGGAAGGAGGAAGGAGGAAGGATGAAGAAGGAAGGAGGACGGAGGACGCAGGAAGGAGGAAGGAGGAAGGAATGAAGGACGGAATGAAGGAAGGAAGGAGGCAGGGAGGGAGGACGAGGAGGAGGACGAGGACGAGGAGGAGGCGGATGATGATGATGATGATGTTTATGATGATGACGATGATGATGATGATGATGATGATGATGATGATGATGATGATGATGATGATGATGATGATGATGATGATGATGATGATGCTGACGACGACGACGACGGTGATGATGATGATGATGACGATTATGACGATGATGATTATGATAACGAGGAGGAGAAGGAGGAAGAGGAGGAGGAGGAGGAGGAGGAGGAGGAGGAGGAGGAGGAGGAGTGAGGAGGAGGAGCAAGAGGAGGATGAGGTGGACGAGGAGGATGAGGAGGAGGAGGAGGATGAGGAGAAGGAGGAGGAGCGGGAGGAGAAGGAGTTGGAGGAGGAGGAGGAGGAGGAGGAGGAGGAGGCAGCGGCACGCTGGAGGACAGCCCCTTCGCGGACCTCCACCAGCTGGCCCGCGAGATCGCGATGAGGACGGGAAGACCGCCGTCTGCACGCAAGAAGCGTCACGTCACTTTACAAGTTGTTATTACAGCAGTGGCCTCCGATTCATGCTCGTTTTTTTGGGGGGGGGCCGCAGCAAGCATTACTCTGTATGAGAAGCTGGGGCCCACAGGTGGCACTCTTCACGTCGCCCAACCGAACTGACTGACTTTTCCTTGATGCGTTTCTGGCTCTCGACGCTCCCTGGAAGCAGTGCAAGCGAAAACGAAACGAGGAGTTCTGGGGGCCCACGTCATGGAACAATCGTGATGCCGGAGGTCTGGGTCCAGTGGCGCGCTTGGTGACGGGGGGGGCGGCAACAGACGAGGGGGGATCGAGGATTGCATTCGAGAGGCCGTGAAGGGGCTCCAAAGGGCCCCCAAATTGCCACCCCAGGCTCAAAAGGTGCCCGAGAGGTGCGCGCACCCTCCCCCCCCTGGTTTGTTGCGAAGGCCTTTCGGCCGGTGCCGCCGAGCCTGAAGGGGGACGACGACGACGACGACGACGCTTTGGAGCCGACAGCTTCTCCCAGGGAGGGGTGCTCCCCCCAGAGGTGAGGCTTGCGCATCTTCACCCCCGTTTATTCCCCCCGCGGCAACGGCGGACTCCCGAGAGGAAGGATCCTCGAGAGAGCGAGGGCTCCCACCCCATTGGAGGCGGAGGGTGACGAGGAGGAGGAGGAGGAGGCGGAGGAGGAGGAGGAGCAGGAGGAGGAGGAGAAGGAGGAGGAGGAGGAGGAAGAGGAGGAGGATGAAGAGGAGGAGGAGGAGGAGGAGGAGGAGGAGGAGGAGGAGGAGGAGGAGGCGGGGGAGGAGGAGGAGGAGGAGGAGGGAGGAGGAGGAGGTGGAGGGAGGAGGAGGACGAGGAGGAGGGAGGAGGAAGGAGGAGGAGGAGGAGGAGGAGAAGAGGAGGAGGAGGAAGAGGAGGAGGAGGAGGAGGAGGAGAAGGAGAGGAGGAGGAGGAGGAGGAGGGGAGGAGGGAGGAGGAGAGGAGGATGGGAGGAGGATGAGGAGGAGGAGGTGGAGGAGGAGGAGGAGGAGGAGGAGGAGGAGGAGGAGGAGGTTGTGGATGAGGAGGAAGAAGAGGAGGATGAGGAGGAGGCGGATGAGGAGGAAGTGGAGGAAGAGGAGGAGGATGAGGAGGAGGAGGAGGAGGAGTTACCCAAGGCATGTACGGTTGCGAGTTCTAGAAGCCCACCACTTCTATTACCATCCATCTCCCCTCTTTGGGTATCAGGGTCCGTGAAGGTTCTGGATGGGGCAGATGTAACCAACGCTGGTGGACACTCCAGGGCCTTGGGTTAGTTTAAAGTGGCTGCTCTCGAAGAGTGCCCGTCGGGGCTCCGTGGGCTCCGGGGTCTGTTGTCTGGGGCGACCCACGGCGTCGGTGCCGGTGGGCGGGCTTGGGAGGCCCCGCCAGGCGACGACGAGGGCGCAAGCGACGACGACGAAGACGACGACGAAGACGACGAAGACCGACGACGACGACGACGACGAGGACGACGACGACGACGACGCCAGCCGCGAGCAGAGCGAGCCGAGCCGGCAGCGGGGTGCGCCTGGGCCCACCACGCCAGCGAGGCCGGGTTCTACGCACCCGAGGGCCCTTACTGTTAGGGGCCTAAGGACTGCTGCCGTCCCTCGGCTCGCGCTGGAGCGGCCACGATCTGCTCCACAGCATCTTGGAGACCTTCTTGGACTTACCTGGATTTGTGTGGATCTGCCTGGATTGCCTTGCTTTCTCTGCATTTGCCTTATTCATCGGGTTTATGATCCCCAAAGGTAGATCTTGGCGAAAAGTCGTCACGCACTCATGGGGCCCTTATTTCAGTTTCGAGCGCCAGCGCGAATGTGCCCGACAGTGGGACAACAAAGGCACGACGGGAGTGCGCCTCAGGCCACGCCCCGGGCCCCGCTTGGGGCCCGCAGCGAGATCACGTGCCCAGACAGGGTTGGGATCTCCGTCCCCTCCTTGATCGCTCGCGTGCTGTCGCGACGAGCAATTTGTGCGACGGGAAAAAAATGGGGTCGTCTTCGCCGTCGTTCGTGCGTAAGTTGCCCGCGCAAGCCCGCGCAAGGGCGGCTTCGTCTCCAATGTGGCGTGCCGCGCCAGCGGCCCGCGTAAGCCGCGGCGCAAGGTTTTTTCCGTCGCCCATTTGCTCAAGCTGGTTCGGTCCACGAGAGGCGCGTGCCTCTAATTCGCTCGTCCCGGTGCTGTCTCATCTGACCCCTTCCAATTGCGGCCCCCCTGCCCCTGGCAGGGAGCCACGGCTCTTCTGGGTCTCTTCTCCCCGCGGCTAGCTCCGCTCCAGCTCCCAGGCGCCCCGTCTCGCTCCTCGGGACTGTCTCTGGCCCTCTCGGCGAGTGGCTTTGGAAGCGTTCGGGCCTGGAGGGCCCGCCTTGGAGAGCTGCTCCGCCAGCTTCTGTACATGGCCAGCAGTTGCACCCGAACAAAGTTTTGCGGTGCAAGGGACGGTTTGCTTTCTGTGGCCTCTGCGGCTCTTGGGCCACGAGGCGACCAGTTAATTTGCTTGCTGGTTGAACTGTGGCCCCCTCAGGCCCCCTATGCTTTTTGTGCTAGGCCTTTCGGAGGGTCCGCAAAGGTTTTCACCTCCACGGTAGGCGGACAAGGCATGGTGTGAGGACGAGGCGCGGGTCCTTTCAACGTAACCTTTTTCGGTCCGCCATTTTTTTTTTCAGAGTTTTGCTTGGTGCTGCGCACGGTCACAAGCTCCTCCTCCCGCTGGTGGCGTCGGGGGGTGGAAGAAGACAAGGAGGAGGAGGAGGAGAAGGAGGAGGAGGACGAGGAGGAGGAGGAGGGGGGAGGAGGAGGAGGGGGAGGAGGAGAGGAGGTGGAGGAGGAGGAGGAGGAGGAGGAGAGGAGGAGGAGGAGGAGGAGGAGGAGGAGGTGGGGGAGGAGGCGGAGGAGGAGGAGGAGGAGGAGGAGGAGGAGGCGGAGGAGGAGGAGGAGGAGGAGGAGGAGGAGGAAGAGGAGGAGGAGGAGGAGGAGGAGGAGGAGGAGGAGGAAGAGGCCCTTCCTCCCACCCTCGGCGTCGGGGGGGGCGTCCTGGGCTGCTCGCAGGATGCCGGTCAGGCGGAAGCCGAGAGTGCTGGTGAGCGCGGCCCTGAGGACTCCCGGGCGGCCTAAGTCGCTGTGGCCAGCGCGGTTCCCCCCTCTGACCCCGTCCATCTTCCGAGGAGGGAGAGTACAGCCGGCCCTGGTTTGTTGGTCGACCATGCTAAATCGAGGGTACCCAGATCTATGCACCCCGCATGTCCTTTGGAGTTCTGGGGCCACGTTGCCGTCAGAAGAGTTTTGTGTCGTCTCGGGTGTCCTGTCCAATCAAGTCCGACTGTGTCCCACCATTCCACCGTTCCGAGGAGGACCCGGACCTCCGACGATCTGATCTTTCCAATCTGGGCGTTTTTACTTCATGCCGGCCACCGGGGCCCTTCCTGGGCCCCGGGGCTACCAAGAGCGGGCCCAGGACGCAGAGCTACCCCTGTGGGGACGGGGGTCGGGAGCCCTGGGGCCGCCAATGACACAAGACAGAAATGAAAGTCATGTCGGAGGATGTCCGGGGATCCTCCGTCTGGGGTGGGGGTGTGTGGGAAGGGGGAACGTGAGGCGTGGTGGGCGTCAAGGGGGGGGGGACTCACCATCTCCGTGGTTCCCTGAGGTCCGACGTTGCGAAGAAGACGCGAGACTGGAGGAAGCCACGGCCAGAGCCCCGAACCCCATCTCCCTGCCGCATGTTTCGAGCCGGACCGATCGATCGTGCGGGTCCTGGGGCCCGAAGCCGCGCGACAATGCCCGTTGAGAAAAAATTGCAGCGCCAGGATCTTAGTGTTGAGTCGGTCGTGTCTCTCTACAAGGGAGGAATCCGCAAAGACAATGAAAAATAGTCAGGGGACGATTTTCCGACTATTTTTGACCATTTGCAATTATTTTTGGACTATTTGTAATTTTCCCTCCAAAATCCGCCTGTAGGGGGACATGCCCGACCTAATCTTAGGGTTTCGGTTGCACCGGCAGGGTGCTCAGGGGCTCCATCCGGAAGAGGTCAGGCCTCGACATGTTCCGGCTGAAGCCCATCGAGCACGCCGACTCGACCTTCATCCCGGCGCTCTTCGTGGCGGGCACGGGCGACAGCTTCATCACCCCGAGCCACGCGAAGGATGCCAGTGTCGGGTTGACCCAAAAGAGAGTCCAGCGACGAGGGGATGGTGCAATAGATTTGGTGCAATAGATTTGTGGGGTTGCAATACATGTGGGGCGTGCAAATCGTTCCAGGGCGCAAATGTACTTCTGGATTTTCGCCTGCAATGCATAGCTTGCAATACAATGCAATACACTTCTCCTTCGCAGTACATTTGCAATCCAATTGCCCCAAACCTATTGCACCCCCCCCTTTCAGCTGGACCTCCTTCTGGGTCACCCAAACATCAAGGGCGTACAAAACGCCCCTACCCTGGTTTACGAGGCGCTGTGCGCTGAACCTCCTGTGGGCTGACAGGGTAAACTCTGCGTGATGTGCGGCGTCCTGGCGGCTCTCTGGGTTCCGGGGGTTCCCACGAGGTCTACAGACCCACTTACTTGCAACTCAGGGTAGGGCCGTTTTTCCATCCCTTGAAAGCAGTGATCGATCGGGGAGGCGGGGGAGGACGGGGAGGTGCGAAAGCCCAGATGTGCGCTCTGGACGCCCGAGATGGGCACGGAAAGAATGGGTACTATGCCCAACAGCAGTTCTTGTTCATTCTGAACAGGATTCGCTGTCCACGCCGCCGCGGCCTGTGTCCATTCGAGACAGAAGGCCGCCTGTCCAACAGCGGCCGCTGTTGGTTTGGGACAACATTTGCTGTTGGGCATAGTGCCCATTCTTTCCGTGCCCATCTCGGGTGTCCAAATGCGCGCGTCTCGTAAACGAGAGCACGACGGAAGGTGCCCGGCCGTGTCTCGGCCCCCAGGGGCCCCCGGCGGGTCCCCCTCCAAGCCCTCAAGGAACCGAGTCGCGATGAAATGCCGGCCCCAGCCCAGGAGGAGGAGGAGGAGGAAGAGGAGGAGGAGGACAAGCTAGGTGCGCTCGCGTCATATCTGACGTCCTACCCCTCCCTCCCATCCCTTACCATGGCGCTGATTTTCTCTATCCGCGGACGCGTGTCGTAGCGGACCTGTGGCTCCGCGCGCGCGTGCGTAGTGGGTGGTGGTGCACGTGCGTGCGTGCGTGCGTGTGTGCGTGGTTGTCGTGGTGGTGGTGGTGGTGGTGGTGGTGGTGGTGGTGGTGGTGGTGGTGGTGGTGGTGGTGGTGGTGGTGGTGGGGGTGGTGGTGGTGGTGCTGGTGGTGGTGGTGGTACTGGTGCTGGTGCTGGTGGTGGTGTGGTGGTGGTGGTGGTGGTGGTGGTGGTGGTGGTGGTGGTGGTGGTGGTGGTGGTGGTGGTGCGGCGCGGTGGTGGCGGGCGGATGGGCGCGCGAGAAAGAGGCCCGCGCTGGGGCGAGAACGCCATCCTGAACGACGGAGGCCAAACACCGATCCGAAAATGAGGCCCACGCTGCAGCGGGAGCACGATTCGGAACGATTCGGGAGCAGAAATGAGGCCGGCGCCTCAACGAGAGCAGCATTTTGGGAAAAAATGACGCCGGCGCCTCAGCGAGAGTCGTTTCCCGGGATTTCCCGGGGATCCTGTGTGTAAAAAAACAGTACGCGGAGGGTGCGCGGCCATCACCCGGACGCCATCAGGGGAAGAGGGAGAGTATTTTCATATTGAGTAATTGTGGAGGGCCCTTGGGAGAGGGTCGGGACTACTGGGGACTCCGTGCCGAAAAGATCAGGATGCCGCATGTCTGGGGACGGTGCAGCCAGCCTGACTTGTCGTAGTCGGTGGGCGAAGGCTCGAGGCACACGCCGCGTACTTGCGCCCAAAGAAAGGCGAGAACGGATGCGAGGTCTTGGGCTCCGTGCACCCCCTGGCGCTCGCAGGTGTGCTCCCCGTCGGAGCTCTGGCGTGTCTGGCAGAACGGCGCGGGATGCGTGAGGGGAAGGGGAGAATTCGGATGGAAGGCTTCGATGATGATGATGCTGATGATGATGGTGACGATGATGACGATGATGATGACGATGATGACGATGATGCTGATGCCTATAATGATGATGACGATGATGACGATGATGATGATGACGATGATGATGATGATGATGATTATGATGATGCTGCTGCTGATGCTGATCATAAGGATGTTGTTAATGATTGTGAGATAGTGGTGCTGCTGCTGATGCTGATGTTGATGACGGTCTTGATCACGACGATGACGACGATGATGATGATATTGCTGCTGATGATTATGATGATTATGATGGTTATGCTGATGATGAAGCGATTTTGAGAAGGATGTTGATGATATCGACGTTTATGTTGATGTTGATTATGATGATGATGACGATTTTGGTGATGATGATGAAGTTGCTGTTGCGGCTGGCAATGATGTTATTAATGATGAGGATGAGGATGATGACGACGATGACAATGCTGACGATGATGATGACGATGATGATGATGATGGTGCTGCTCATCAGGGTGATGATGCTGATTCTGATGATGATGACACTGATTGTGATGATGAGGAGGATGAGGAGGTGGAGGAGGATTAGGATGAGGATGAGGATGCGGAGGAGGATGAGGATGATGAGGAGGAGGTAGAGGATGATGATGAGGAGGATGAACATGATGATGATGAGGATGATGATAATGAGGTGGATGAGGAGTGTTAGGATGAGGATGATAAGCGTAATGAGGATGACGATGATGATGCTGATGATGATGACGATGATGATGACCATGCTGATGATGATGCTGATGATGATGATGATGATGATGATGACGAGGATGGTGCTGATATTGATGATGATGATGCTGATGACGATGATGATGAGGATGATGATGATGATGATGATGATGATTAGGATTCGTATTAGGATGAGGCTGCGGATGAGGTTGAAGATGATGAGGGTGATGATGATGATGCAGTTGTTGCTGTTGTTGTTGATGACGGTGCTGGCGGTGATGATGATGCTGCTGCTGATGATGATGATGATGATGATGATGATGATGATGATGATGAAAGGCCGCCGCGAGCTCAGGCCTTGATGCCGCAGCGGCCTATGGACGCGCCCGTGCTTGTCCGAGGCTTCGGACAGGGGGCCCAGCGATGGCGGCGCTGCTCGGTCATGCCACATGTGTGCTCCAGACGGGGCGGTAACCGTGGCTGGCATGCATGTGGAGTGACGGAGAAATATCTGCCGAAGGAACCGCACGACGCCATCTACCCACAGCCGCCGCTGAAGCCCTCGATGCGCTCTTGGAGGAGGCGCTTGAACATGGCCAGGAATACTCTCCCAGCGAAGTTGACCAGATCCCGTGGCCTGAGGATATCGAACCAGTGCATCCTCGTCCCTCCACAGGCGCAGCGGCACCAGCTGTACCACCAGAAGTTGCACCACCGCCAGCCGACGCTGCACACGATCTACGGGACCAGCCACAGCCACCACCCCCCACACAAATATTGACCCGATTGCTCAAACGTGTGCCGTCAAGCCCGTGTCCATCGTCGGCTGGAACACCTTCACGCTCAAGGGCTTGCCTGGCAGGACCGACGACATTAGCTACACTTTTCGCCGATGCCAGGCTGTCATGCTCGTGGGCACTAAGATCCGACAACCTGCCCCAGACACACCGCATCACTCAGAGACGTCAGTTGCCCACCATTGGATACATTTTGGTTGGACACGCGGTGCGCACACTAACTCATCAGCCGGGCTGCAGCACCGGCCTCTCGAAGAAACAGTTTCGCAAGCAGGACGCCTGCAACATGGTGCACTCTGGGCCAGAATTACGTGGACGTGGGGGGCTGGTCGAGGTTCACCGCGGTGCGCTACGCATTCGGTACATCGTTGCCTATTTCGCGCTTCGGCCATCAGGTGGAGCCGCCAAGGTGCAACCATGAAAGGGCGGATGCATGAGATTATGGTCTTGGCTTATGAAAGCAGTTACCGAGTGTCCATCGCGACCCCCCCCATCGCCTTCACAGATCTTAACCAGAGCTTGGGGGTGCAGGCTAAACAGATTACCGACGACGCCGCCGTGGGTCCATTTCAACCTGGCAACGAGAGCGAGTTTGGACGCCACGTTCACAACCAGTTGCTGTATCGCGACCTCTCGGCGCTCAACTCCCACGTGGGCGTCGGCTACACATATCACGGCCCCCAGGAGTCCCGCTCCCGCATTGCTTATTTTATTTGACGCCACAATTTACATGATATCACTCGCAGCATCCGATTGGACTGGAGGGCACATCGGCGAGTGCGTGAATTGATGCATGTACGTGACCGTATCCCGATGGTGGTGCGCATTCGTATGCCGACTAACAACACGAACCCTTTGGACACACGTGTAACTTGGGACTGGGGGGCTCTGGCTGCGAGATTGCAGACTGGATTTAAACGTGAGGAACTTCTGGCAGAATTGACATCGGACTTAGATAAGTATCAAGACGCAGTTCGAGTGGCCAAGATGGATCAGTTTCCTACGAGGCACGCGGCGATACTCACACACTTGATCCGCACGACGGCAGCTAAAAACTAGCCCCGAGATGGCCTCATACCACACTGGAATCTGCAAGCTCAAAGGGATCGTTTTCAGCTACTACGACAACGCGCAGAGGCGCGTGAACGTGGACACACGCATGATTCACGAGTGCTACGCGGTTTGCAAGCCCGACTTCGAGAGCATCAACAGTGGATGAATCATTGGTGGCAGGTTTCTCTGTAAAGCGATATCCGACAAGCATGGGCATCTCGTGGCTTATCGAGGCTATCGCATTTGACGTATCTACGCGCTGGCCGACGTGCGGGACCTCGCCGACGATCATACTTATCTATTCCCATCACGAGGCCGTCAGCGAGCGAGTGCGAGCAGGAATTTGCGGCGCGTGCAACCGACGTTGGACTGACTGCTACTAAGGCACATGCAAGCTTCTATATTGAAGACAACTGCAGTCTCGCGGATGTTGGCACCGATGGGCACAATGCAGCCTGTGGGGGACTACGTCGGCGTCCCGACCATAGAGGATCTCGAGGAAGCGAGTGCCGAGCTACAGATGATGCAGAAGCGCCTCTGGCGCGAG